GTTTTGGAAAACGGCGTGGTCTGGATCGAAGTGGCGAAGTGCCGCATCAAGTGGAATTTGTAGAGAATTACGAAAATATCGACGTTTCGTTTTTGCCATTCGATAGTTATCTGATTGTATTTGTGCTGGGTGAGTAGATACTGACGAGTGGTGGGATGATTATTCGAATACATAAAACTTTAGTATTAACCAGGTTTATTTTCATAAAGGTGCTCCTGGATCAGGTTCGAATATTGTCAATATTTTAATAGACATTATCATAGCATTTATAATCTGCCCAATAAGTGACCGGTTTTGCTTACAGGAAAAGGCACTCAATGCGCTCGGGTCGCTGAGGCATACGGATTAGCACATATATCAACGGGTGATTTGCTGCGAGAGGAAGCAGCCAAGGAGACTGAGCTTGGAAAGGGGATACGAGAATCTATGAAGCAAGGTAAAATGGTGTCGACTGAGCTCACGCTTAAGCTATTGTTTCAAGCGATGGAAGCTTCCGGAAAGGATGTTTCTGGGTTTCTCATTGATGGATTTCCTAGGTGTGTATCAACTATACAATTAAATCGAAGAAGACTCTATTAATGTTATAAATATGATTAACACAAAGGATTTTAATTCTTTTTTCCCTTAGGACTATGGACCAAGCAGTGGAGTTTGAGAACACTGTAAGGCGATTTCTATTAGTGGTCTGCAGATAATATAATTAATAAATTGTACTAATATCGAGTTGTTTTTTATCAGATTGGTCGCTGTGATTTCGTCTTGTACTACGACTGCCCTACGGAAACGCTTATACGTCGGCTAATTAAGCGTGGTGAAACGAGTGGTCGCATAGATGACAACCTAACAAGCATCGAAACGTAATGAAATAAGAAAACGATTCTTTCCAGTTTAATCGTTGTTTTGCTTTTCTTGTTAAAATATAAATGATCTATTTTATCATCAGACGAATTCAAGTGTTCGAGCAGACTAGTCTACCTGTGATCGAATACTACGAACACGAGGGCCGCGTTCAGCAGGTCAGTGTGCTGATATGATTATTTTTCGATTAAAATGTTTATTAGACATCAATGATATTTAAATACTGTAATGTTTTCAGGTAGATGGTAGTGGGCCTGTTGAACAAGTGACAGAAGAGACCTTTAGTATATTCGATATGGTATTTGATCAAGAGATACAAGCAAATAATACTGCTGAACTGGAGGAAGTCCGCAAATGATGTGCACACAATGTTTATTGCGACCTTACAACTGCTATTGCTATGCTATCATTCCTGATTGCTAGCGGAGGCATTTGTTCTTGTTTTTCTGTGTGTATCTTCATTTGTTTTTCTACAAAGATTTGTACAGAAACATGTATTTTTTCATAATTGGAGTAGAACGTGTACTTTTATATCTAATAATTAATTGCATACCATTCATTTCGTAGAAGGATTCAGTGGTTTGTAAGATAGACGGGCGTATTTATTGGAATCGAGTTAAATAAAGGCAAAGACGTAGAACGGACGTTTATTTAGAATGCGCGTTTATACCACTATCGTTGTGAGTATATGACTGCTATTGGTACAACTGATGTATGCGGATGTTAGTTGTAAGGCATGTAGTTGATGCCTTTGAAAATTCGTGAACGTATAATGTATAAGTTCCAAGTAGTAATCAGGTTTACATATTTATACGTATATCTGTAAAGTATATTTGCGATGTGAATATTTGTAAAGTATTATTTTCTGGATAAGGAAAATAGGTTCTTGTTCTTTGATAATAGAAACTTCAACCGTATCAGCATTATGATTTGAGGGTTTAGTATTTTGTAAAGCGAAACATCACTTTTTTCTTCGGCTTTTGCAGGACATTGAATCGTGCGTTTAGGTTGTAGGAATAGTAATGTTCTTTTGTTGCGGATTTGTCAAAATAGGTTCGTGGCATTCTGGCAATTCACGAATTCTTCCGGCTAAATTATCCTATACAGAAGTATCTAATCCAACAGCGTAGTTATCATCCCAATATCCAGTCCCGCCCTGTGGTCTCACAGAAATTTAACAACAGCCGCGAACTTAAATCCTATGACTGCAGCCGCGAACACAGGTCCTAGGACTGCGGTTGTAAACTCTAGTCCTAATTGCGATTGAGGAGAACTTTTAAGGAAACTAGTAGTAGAGCCTGACTAGTATATTATTTATTAATACAGAGGGTTCTCAAAAGTTTCCGAACGGATTTTATGCAATAAACACTTAGTTTTTAAAACTCAACCCCAAAAAAACTTTATTTTAAGCTTATCAAAGCCTACATTTCGTATTATTTAATTGGGCCGCTTTCCGCCGCCGCAATCATCGCCTGAATTCGTGCTGGCACACTATCGAGTAAATTTTCGATCATACGTTTCGGAATTGCTTTCCAACATCCCTTTCAATTAGAATCAATAGATCCAGTTTCAACATGCCTTTTCAATGTTGTTTTGCCACATCCGATAGTTTCTTGCAATCTGATTATACGGGTTACCATTTTTTACAAAGATAAAATATAACACCACGCTGTTCCGCGGTTAATTCCCCATTGTTGCAGTTGTAACCACAATTTGTAGAAAAAAAGAAGTTAGAAAGAAAAGTTGAATTAAAAACGTTTTTTAAGACAAAATAAGCCATATTTGTATAATAAAGATTACCCTTTTTTGTGTAGCAATCGCGTTCCAAAAATCGCGTTCGGAAACCCTCGTAGTTTCTCATGATAGTAATATAACAATATGCCGTGTCAACTGTGCGTATTATGATTTGTAAACGATATAATAATAAAGTTTGATAATAATGAGTATTACACACGGTAAATTTTATTACTACTATGATATGATGCTTCCTTCTATCGTTCGCTATTACGATTACACAATCACATTAAAATAGTATATGGATTTAGAGAGGGTAAAAATTTGATTGGTTGCACATGAAATTAGGAGGCAATAAAACACTATTGGTTATTTATTATTAAATATTGCAGTGAATGTTGGTTTTTTTTTCTTGATGAAAGATACACAAACAAGAGGAGAATTTTAAAGATATTTTTTTAATAGACTTTAACTGTGTCAGTAGGTTGAGCTCCACCAGCCATCTTTTTGCATCAATGTATTTGTTCAAAAGCTTTGACATATTGAACAATTCCTCAGCATTAATTATTTTGTTGTTGTAGAAAATTATACACTATTTGTTTAAGCTTATTATTTTGGTATTGGGCTCAGTACTGTCATTGACTTCCTCATTATTGTATATTGCTTGCAATACATTCATTTTAAATTCTTATATCATTTTACATTTAATATGCAAGTTATGATAATGTCTTTTAATATTAAATGACATGATACTTCTGACATCCATTGGTTGAATTTTTGAAGGGGGGTTGTGTTTGGGGGAGAAAGTAGACATCCATGTTTGAGAGAACCACACCATCTGTTTTATGACCTTGGGCAATTGTCAAGTAATAGCAATACCCACTGGTTTCCAAGCTTTTAATTGCTGTGATATGTTACTAAGATTGACATTAATAAAGCACTGTGGCTTTGCAAACTTTCCAATAATTAATGGGTTTAATTTATGGAATCCGTCAGCATTTGTGCACAAAGTCTTTCTTTATCTTTCTTATGGCCTAAAAGTCTCTGTGTGGCTAATGTAAATGATCTGTCTGGCTCTAATCTGTAGAATAGTCCAGTCTCATCCATATTATATATTCTTTCAAGTGGATAATTTTCACGTTTACTTTTCAACAATGGCAATAGCAAGGCATCAGCCATAGTAATAGCCACCAAATCAACTGCTCTCCCGTTATTTTCGCTTTCATTTTTTTCGGAGTCAGTATTTGCTTGCATTGCTTTTCCTAAGAAGTTTGTGCGTGCAGTCAAACGAGCCGTTCAAATTATTATCTGATAATTATTTGCACATGATGCTTCCCCATGAAGTTGTTGTTGACAGATTCCATTATGCTCTTTAAATTTCTGGAGCCACCCAGCAGAAAACTTTTAATGTTCCATCTGGAACTTCCATGCCAACTGCTAATTGTTTTGCCTTTTCAATTAAAATTAAGATTGGTAGGTTAAAATGAATTCTTTAAGGGCATGTCTTTTGGCATTAGGGCATATGACTTCAGTGTTAAGGATGTCTTCACTTTTTTGTAAACTTCTTGTTACTGTCAATTCATCCGCTCTAACAGCCTATTGTTTTTCAATCCAATTATAATGTAACCAATGATAATTAATGCGCAGAAATTTGCGCATGTCAATTACGCATAAATGACGTTTAGTTGAGCCCATAATGATTGAATATCCAGCTTGAATTTTTCGTTTAGCAAAATGGCCAACTTCGTCATTGTAGTAACTTTAATACCCACGGTTGCCTGATCTCGGTTATGCTCTTTTTGATTACATAGTCGACACGGCCAGTATTTTCTTCACCAATTATATTCGCCCGAGGCGTGATTACCAAAACCGTTGAGAGTCGTAGGTAAGATTGTTGAAATGTAGTCGCTTCGTTACTATCTACAACTGGACCCATACTTTTTATTCTATGGAGAATGTCGTCAGTACATGACTTGAATTCGGAGGCGTTTTCGTTGATCGTGTGGGCAGCAATGTTATGATATGTGAGCTTTGAAATATATAAAAAAAAACTAATATTAGTTAGTAATCGTAACATTCTGGCGTTATTATTTAATTAAAGGACTGACCAAACACTTGACACAGGTCGCGCTTCAAATCTCAACACAACGAATCAGCGCGTGTCCCGATTTACAATGTCATTATGCAATCACACAGACAGTTGCATATATCAGCAATCGGTCAAATTGTCCTTATTATTCGCGATATCATTACCATGGATAAATGTTATTGTAACGTTCCTTTTTCATACAAAAAAATAAACAAACGTCTTACAGCATTAAGTTTAATCACTGGAGGTCATGTGAATGCAACATTTTTTGAGCATTTTGTTGGCAGATCGTCTTTTCCTATACGTTTCCCTTTTCCTCATGTTCATTCTTTCGACTTTTCGTGACACATTAACAATAATTCCCAAGGACTTTCGAAAAAGCAAACTCGAAGCTCTTTCAGACGAAATAAACAAAAAGTACGCGAATAAGGTACTGCTAAGAATACTTTCTATTGTAGAGACCGACAATACAACACGACAGTAACCAACTCAAAAAGGTCGTTCATGATGTAGGTCTATGCGTGTGCTTGCATGACATAATTGATACCAGCGAAGAATTTGTTCATTATGGTGATGGTTCAAGTTACGTCAAGGGTGAGTTTAGTTTGCTTGCTCTTTGGGGAACACAGTAACCACTTTGCGAGGCTAAAATGCATCAATTTACTCCAAGTGAAATTTCGAATGGTAGTTTTTCGCCCATTTATTGGGGAGCTTCTAGTTGGGAAAATAAAAACTTGTACTCCTGAAGGCGTTCGAGGTATTATTGTTCAATGACAATAGCATTCATTCTGATCAGCGATTGTATTTGTTGCATCATGTTGAAGCATATAATTATGTTTTCAGTATCAATAGACTTTTTCGACGACATCCATATTCCCTCCATGCTACTAAAACACCAATCGGTCTTGTGAGTAGACTTACCGTATTACTATTGTCATTTTCAAGGCTCCTTTGCGTGACCCAGTTACTCGCGCTAACTCCTAGTCATATTATTCGTTTGCAAGTGATCAAAGTGAACAAGCGTGGGTGTGGCATTACGAACCCGGTCTGTTATTATGGATGGAAGTTGACGACCTCGTTCGCTTCCGTGTTGTCGGTGAAGCATTTACTGACATTACGCCAATGAGTGCACCTAGATCTCGTGGTGGCTTACTTGATACGAATTTAGCCGGAAATTCCGCCCAGATACCGCCATATCAGCTGAGATGCAGTATACAAGAAGACGGATTGGGTCCTCTCGCTTGGTGGCAAGATCAATAGGCTATCAATAAACATCACCAAATTAACGGAATTCGGCTAGGAACCATTGCATTGTTAATTGGTTCCTCGTAATAAATCTTACCTCGTAATGACTTCTCGCTTCCATGCTAGTAGTACACGTTAAAACGAGTGAAACAGTTATCGTTGAGAGCTGGATATGGTGGATGAACCGCCGGGTTTGATCTGTACGATGGGGAGATGAAGTTGACGAGTTGGTCATCGCTATTGTATATAATAAATTTTTGTGAATGACTTTCCGTTAATTAGGGTCGAGGGAGGGAATGTCTTTGACACAACGTGTCACTATTAATAAGAACTTGATAGTTGATTCGAACTGTTCGAACTAATAATTGGCATATTGTTTATAATGATGTGTCGCGTGGAATCCGGTTCGCTATCACAGCATTTTAATATATTGACGACTATTATTTTAGTGTCCTCGACTAGAAGAAAAATAGATGGAAACCTCTTATTTTTAAATAGAACAAGACAAATGATCTCTGAAAATATTGTGACATTGAGAGGTGCTACTAGCGTCTTGAAGGCATTTTCCGATTTCCTTATAGCGGCCCAAGTTGATAAAAACTAATTTTCATGATTCGAATATTTCGAGGTTAAAAAACCTCAAAACTAGCCAGTCTATTGCGTAAATTTTATTGACGAAACTTTGTTTCCTGTACCAAACGGAATAATATAAGGGGAGTGAAAAATGCTAATTACACTTGAAATTTACAGTCGAACATCAACGATTAGGACCTACAAATAGAATTTTATTAGTGCGAGCGCCTGACATACGGTTTAAGCACTAATAATGCATTTGGAAGGACAATTAAGAGCTGGACTTACAGAGCCGTTACTTAATGCAGCAGCTAATCTGTATTTGTCACCATTTGGTATACTGATCCAGCATACATCAAAGATTGCTTGAGCGTCGGTTTTATATGTTCTACATAGCTTCCCGCTCTGCGGTTGAATCAAAGCAGAATGAAAATGAATGCACACAATTCAATCCAACAAGATTACGTTACGTTACATTACCTTCACAGACCAGATACAGAGTGTGGGATTTAGAGATGCTGTGGCAAGATATTTTCCATCCGAACTAAATGCAATAGACTCTGACACGGCCGAATGTGATAATTCGTGTCGTAATTCTCCCTTGATGACATCCCATATTCGTACAACCGCGTCAGCGCATGTACTGTAGATAAACAGTTAGAACTCATCATTCAGACATATTATTCATGCTTTTTTGTTTGCATTTAATTCCCAGATAACTTACGTCGCTATAAACCGCGTCGGCTGTTGTCTAGTCGCCTTACCAATGGGACACCACTGGACCACATATACTCGTGTTGGATGAGTGAAACTATGAATTGGCTCGTCTTTAGTCATCGACCAAATCTATACACACGACACATAAAAATAAGTTTCCAATGTTTTATACCAATTGATATATTGTAATGAATTCATCTTCCTAACCTTTGCAGTACAATCATCCGAACACGATGCCAGGAAACGATTTGATAAATCCCAGGCAACCGAATGAACGACATTATCGTGCATAAAAGTCTTAATGGGGCATGGAACGCCTATCTGACAGATACAAATCTTGTGGTCTCTTGAGCATGTGGCAAACGTCATGTCGTCCAGCCAATCGATATCCATTACGACATCTGTTTAGCAAAGGGTGACGTAATCATAAAATTGATAACTGATTGTTGAATTTTTGCTGAACAAGCACTCGCTCGTTATGCAGGATAATTTGCCGTGATCAGCGAGGGAATCCAACCTTGGTGTATGTCGAATGCTTGTCGTTTATTGGCAGTGTTTGGGTCCCACACAATGGCTGTCTTGTCCATACTCGCGGTCGCAATGTATGAGCCCTTGTTATTCCATTTTATTGCCAAGATGGATTTATTATGTTGTTCGAGTACTGCTCTCAAGTCGCCTAAGGAAAAATTGAAACGCAATAAGATAGATGATATGATACAAGAATTGAAACAAGCCCGCTAATGGAATATGCATATAACGTTTCCTATAATATTTGTCATTAGATTCCTTGCTCACCAGAACTCGTATATATTCGCGCAGTTCCATCTGCATAGGCTATAGCGAGTAGACCTGCTTGAACCTGTAAAGTTTGTCAGTTAATAATAAATTCTCAAGGTCATAATGCATCATGACTCGAATATTTTGTTTATATGACTCACGCTCCAGTCCATCACGACGACTTTCTGCGACCCGGGCTCACTGTTCTCGCCATTGAACACAGCCTTCAATACAATAGGCTCTTCATATGGGGAATTTTTCGATTGTGGTATTTTCCAAATACGTGTCGTTGCATCATGACCGCTAACCAAAGCAACCAATACAAAGTTAAGAACTGTCAATATCACTTACTCTAACCACCGATCAGATATTCACCCAGATGCCAATATCGCGGGTGTACTAGAATTCCAACTGCAGGCGAACACTTCTCGCTCGTGTCCATCCAAAGTAATTACATCTTCAGAAGGTATAACACTTGGTGGTACATCTTTCCCGTTAGGTTCTGGTGGAGATGGCTGGTTGTTGCCTATCAGCCACGGTCATAAAGCAATTGCATTAGAACTAGATTATATGAAAACTCAACGATATCGATTGCGAACAGAACCCCAACCGAAATTGATAAAAAGGAGACATAATCGAACCACTGGCATATATTGGTGATATTTCAGTTAACGGCGCCCGGTCTACATCCATATCGTCATTATCTTTAAGCTGCTGGTCTGGGTAGTACTCGATATCCTTTGAGCGTCTATCACGATCGGTTGGGTCTTTCTGCGAGCGTCTTTCCTCTCTTCGTTCTCTCTTGTTGCTAGGAGAGGGCGTTTCCTCACGCTTATGTTTCTTGGCAGTTTTGTCGCATTTGTGTGAACCAATTAATGTAAAAGGAACGGTGCATTCACTTGATGTTCCGTCCTTGAATGTAATAATTAATGAGATACGGTAAGACGTGCCCGATAGAACAAAAGATTATAACCAGAGTGAAATAAACAACAAAGCTTACAGGATTCATATGAGTCTCGATATCCATGTATAAGAGACCCTTTTGAATGAGATTTATCAATGCGCCAGGCTGAACGTCTCCATTTTGGACATCTAGTGCATCTGCGCGACTTTCTTGTTGAAAAGTAAAAGTAGTGTGGTGGAAGCCTTTACTCAACAAAAATCGTAAAACGGCAGAGTACGGATTTAGAGTAAGTGAACAAATCCTAACACCAATCGTAAACACAAAACTGCACAGATATAATGCAAACTCAGATGGTGAATAAGTACAAAAGATAAAAGCAGCTAGATCGGAAGCACACCTGACTCCTTAAGGTAGCGATAAATAAGATAATTTACTTCTTCGCTTGTAAAGCTCATTGGGCGGCTTCTATACTTAAAAAGGTTATTCGAGCGTCGCGAAGGTGGTCAATGTGTAAGAGCGGGAAAAGACGTTAACATAAGCTTTGGGCCAACAGTATCATTGTTACATAACAAGCATTGATTTTTTGATATGGGGGTATTTTGCACACAAAAAATCACATCCATACATAACTATGACGTCACTAAATTTCGTTTTTGGTAAGCGCCTAATCTACACGAAAATTAACATCATAATCACATAATAAACAACGTTGCAGATGGGATAATATAATTGAGCATAGTCCCCCTCCTTTCGAGAACTGCACATTAATATTTTTTATGTCGCGGCGGATTATTCATTTCCACCTTTGCTGGCTTTATAAGCTCAGTGCAAATAAACGACAAGTTACAACTATTCTCTAATTGAAATACTGGTCCAAATGTTTTTTTACGTACGGAAGCTCAGGTATTTATATCATATTCATATTTCAGGTGAAACAAATTTTGGGACAATTTGAGCCAATAAAAATAATGCACACTTTACTATCATGTGACTTTTAATACGAACTTCAAAACGATTACAAGTATAGTCCTTCCGGTGTTCCCTCCGATTTTCTATAAAGAACTTTTTCGCGTGCTTTCCTAAAATCTTCTGCAATGACTTTCATCCGTCGCTCTCTAAGTGCGAGCAATCCCGCTTCAGTACAAATTGCCTACAAATGGATGAGGATGTTTAATAATTGTATCTCGCGATCAGCAACTGGATGGTTTCAAGAACTTACTTTAATGTCAGCCCCAGACAAATCGTCCTTTGACATGACAAATTCTTCCAAATCGACATCTTCAGCCAGGGTCATTCGACTAGTATGGATGTTAAATATACGACGTTTTGTCTTTACGTCTGGTAGAGGAAATTCAATCTTTCGATCAATACGACCGGGTCGAATAAGCGCCGAGTCTAAAGACTCTATACGATTTGTTGCCATGATGACCTTGGAAATTGATTAAAATTCAGATGAGAGACTGTCTCGTCGGGAAAGAACCTCTTCCTTTGCGACTACTTACTTTGACATCTCCTCTCGAATCGAACCCGTCCAATTGATTAAGCAACTCCAACATAGTTCGCTGAATCTCTCTCTCCCCACCCGAGTTAGATTCATAACTGATAGCACCCGTCCAGTTCAAGAATCAATTTCGATAATTCTCAAATGTTACCGCAAACGTTAATGAATACTATACTCACCGTTTAGTACCGATCGCATCAATTTCATCGATAAACACAATTGACGGCGCATGTTCTTCTGCAACACGGAACAGTTCCCTGACAAGCTTTGGTCCATCCCCAAGGTATTTTTGAATCAATTCTGACCCTACTACGCGAAGAAATGTGGCTGATGTCTGATTTGCCACTGCTTTAGCAAGGAGTGTCTTTCCTATAAGGAAGGTAAATAATATACATATGAATGCGTTTACGTGTTCCCCAATTGTAATTACAATTGCTAGTATGCCAATAATATTACTCGAGACGTTAAAATTTACTATGAAACAGTCGTATTTACCTGTTCCGGGAACACCATACAATATAACCCCCTTTGGTGGCTTAATCCCCATTTCTTCATATAATTCGGGGCGAGTAAGCGGTAGCTCGACCGCCTCCTTGATTTCTTGGATTTGTTGTTCCAATCCACCGATATCAGCATAACTTTCTGTTGGCGCTTTGTCAAGTTTCATGACACTGACCATTGGATCCGCATCATCTTGAAGAACACCAACAACAGACATTGCCTGATATTATGCTTAAACTCATCAATGTCCGGAGATCTTTATGGACGCTTACGGAACGTATTGAACAATGGAATCGAAGCAAACCTTATGATGCAGGAGAATAGAACATCCAGGTTCTAATAGGTCTTTATCCACAAAAGACATGATACTGACATAATATTCAGGTCCTGTAGTTGACGAGACAATTGCATGATCATCGTCAATAATCTCTTCCAATGTCCCAACTCCCATGGGCGACCCACGCAAGTCATCAACGCGTATTCTTTCTTCCTGTTTCAAATTTCACATGCACACACATATTATTATCTCTATATAATCGCATTGAACGCAATCACACGTCCTATCGAACCCCTTCCCCCCCCCCCCCTCCGAATCCAATGACTTTACAAACAACATGTCTGCTGTCCGTCATGTTGTCTTTAGTTTCTCTCCCCCTCCTCTCTCTAACCTGTGCTTTTTCTTCTTGTGGCTTCAATCTTTCTTGGTTTTGAACAAATTCTTCTTCCATTAACAGATAATCCTTTATTCTATCCATTTTTAACATTTTCAATTTACAACGCGTGGTTGGGAATACAGCAGGCAGTTTAGAAGTTGCATCAGGACCACGTCGTTTCCTTTTACCCACACGAGTGGGAATTGGGGGTTCCCATTTCTTTTTTCTGTCTTTATCCTAGGAATAAGGTAGAGAAAGGGGAGAAGGAACAGGGATCGAGTTGACTAAGAGGGAAAGAAAAAGTAAAGAAGAAAGGAATAGATAGAATTTAGGATATTTTTTTTTTACTTTGTCATCTTTATTTTTATCGTCACCTGCCCCAGGCGGAGGAAAACCTGATGCTGTGTTTCCCTAAATGAACAATTGGTTTAATATGATAAGTAAGAGTGTAAGAGCAACTAATTCGATTACAGCAATTTTGATCTTTGACGTGCACCAAACTTTATAGGTAAAGTATCCTACATAAAAGCTTTGATTGCCACTCGAACTGGTCGTGCGGTTACGCAGACCCAAGTTTTGGTCTTCTTACCATAATTACTTTTCAACTAGATTCCAAGCGTTGCGGTAATGTAGAGAGAATTGAATATCCTTCAGTATTTTTACTCGATTTTTAGGGAATATGATGACGTATTGCTGACGCGGCAAGAAAAGCTAAAAGTCACGTTACTTTTATTGAACTCCATATTTATATGATAGTTTTTTTTATTTTCAATTAATAAAAGCACGACTTTCGAGGTCATGAAATAACGGGTATTGAGCGAATTTTTTTACACAAATATGTACAGTAGAAAAATAAAAGAAGGACGACAACAAAAAACTAAAAACAACCAAAATCACTCAATAAGAGTCCATCCATGCATTTCCCTCCATATCTTTCTCCCTTCTCCGTAATACTTTTATCTGCATAATTCAAACATATTCATCGGATGCCATTCAAAAAGAATCCAGTTCAAAGAAAAAGCTCTTTTCGATTTTCCTCCCATCCCATTGCTACGACAGACATCTACATATTAATACATCCAAAAAGAATTATGTCATTATTCACAATGGCGTCATCATAATCAGACCAACCAAGAAGCCTTGGGCGTAAGTAAGTGTACTATGACGTTAGTGGCTCGTTTTGGACCAAGCAGGATCATCCTCGATAATTTTCTCAATGTTTTTGGCGACATCTTCTAATAAGCAGAGAGAACCCGACGATACGAAACGAAAATGTGGGGGAAAGCGAATAGAAAAGTTTAGTATGGCCATAATTTAGACCATGTAATCGGTAGCCGCCGTGGAATCCCGTCATGCATCTCATCCCATGCATACGAAAAACATGCATAACAGCTTGCATATCAATCTTACCTCGTGAAGCATCATTACCATTACTATTTTTCTCCTTGGGACTGAATAACATTTGTTGGACTAACAAACTTGAACTCAGATCCAAGCCTGAAGATGACTTTGATTTTATATTATCGGTAGACATTTCTTTCTCATAACACTTTTCTTTTTCCTTTTCTCTTAATCGAGGCACTTTTGGTGGCTTGATTTTTTCTTTGCTGAATGCTCTTTCCACACCAATCGGTCTCCGATACGCCGCCGCAACTTCATATCTTCTCACTCTCGGTTGCTGAGCAGCTTTTTCTTTCATTACTCTTCCAAAGCCGCACGCTGTGTAAGCAGGTGAGATAAACTTGGCTGCTCGAAGCGACCATATGGGTTGTGGAAATTTAAAAACGAGCATGGCGATGTGATATGGTGCAAACCATCCAAAATCGAACAATCCGAAATTTTGTTCTACAAATCATTATTAATATTAGTCACATGATGTTACCCAATGAAACGCTCGAAATCATGAGGACTATAACTATTACTATAATAAACGCATTTCCTGTGGTGTTGATAAATTTATTCTTTCAACGCTCTTCAGAAAGGCAGTAACCAGTTGACACTTAAACTAAAGTAGCATTGCGGAAATCCGACATCTTAACGATTACATTCAAGAATATGAAAGTATGGATAACCGGGCTTTGGCATGTCACAAACCAAAGCATTGCGACCTTTATTCGAGTCTGTTAATGTTATCCCACACACCAACCGTTATGAACATTATTTAAAAAGACGGCGAAAATATACAAACCGGGACATACGCGTATGTGTCATCGACAATATTGACATGGCGGAAGCTACAACAAGACGTGGAAAACATTTCACGCAACGCTTGCGTGCGACTTTCAAATGACAATGAGATACAGCTTACTGAGGAACACCGTTTATTCGGTACTAACAGTGAAACTGAAGCATGGCTTCAAAAAGTGAGCGATGTTATCAAGACCTTAATAGCTTCGAAATGGCCTTCTATTGATAGTCCTGGAGACGTTTTTTATTCAGCACACATGGGTGTAGTCCGTCACACTGGACAATCAAAATCTTGAAGAACGACAACACCCTTTTGCACACTTTGGATTAAATTTCTTGATCCCAATGTCAAAGAAGAATTAGCAGACCTTTTGGACGCCTCTATTTCGCCCTTTGATGAAGTTTGAAAATGAGAAGACAGGCGATTATTGGTCTGAAGAACAGATCGTGGCTCAAGATCTCCTTTTCACAGGCTCACCCACTATTGAAAAAAAAGCAAGCACATGACTAATTTGAATAATTCTGCTTACACTCGATATTTGACGATGCGCGATGCTGTAGTCTCATTTGGGTTGAGACATATCAATTAAATATGAGCATTCTTTCGCTTCACATTAAACTCGCTTGAGGGGACGCGTGTATTACTACTAATCGTAGGGACTTGTTAGTAATACTGTGAGAGGCAAAGTCTCCCCTTCTCTAGATTCACCTGCGTGATGACGACTTGATTGTTCTGCCTGATGAGCAGATGGAGTGTTAAACCAAATTCGACTAGTTACCGCATGCGTTTATTGAATCCAAAGTATGTTACGCGCGATAATCAAATTATAATTATACACGTATTGCATTCATTCCAGCCTCGGCTAAGGCATTCATAAAAATAAAACATATGAAATATTATGGTCCGGCGCAAAAAAGTTGGTACACCAATATGCTTATAGTAGAAAATTTTTTTTGAAATTCATTCATACAAATTGGGTTTTGAGGAATGTATCAGTAGAAATTTATTAAAACATGTACACAGACAAAAAAGAGTTTTACTAGTCATCAATCTCGAGATCTTCACTATCACTTTCGACCAATAATATATCATCATTTAAAATTTTCATATTCTTTGGCCCTATCAAGCGATCTTTTCCAATTACCTTGGACGTAACCTTTTCGTTAAATGCGTGCAATAATTTGTATTATGTTCAGCAACCACTCGCGCAAGGGTTGCCTCACCAATTCCAAGGACCGAAGCAACCTCCTTGCGTAGTGGCAAGTCTGGACGTTGCTTCTGGTACTGTCGAGTATTTAAAAAGTATTGGTGAACGCGAATAATCATTCGTTTTTCGTTCCTGGTTAAAGAACTTCGCTCTCTATCTAGGTCTTCCATGGGATGATCAAGTTTGTTACGAATATTTGAAGTTCGACATTTCCCTTACATTTTATTTGATTTGTATGCTCAAATGATTCGATTAGCAAATTTTGTACATGTGACGAATTTCAGGTGACA